TCTATAAGAAACCCCATAATTGAAAGAGATCTATTGTTTTCAAATCATGCTTTGATAAGTTATTCCCTGTTTCAACAAAATTTCATAACTATTTTCTTCCAAGTTATTTTAGTCTTTATCCCTTTTTTGAAACTGAAATTTTATTTATTAAATTGCATAAAATGTAAGAAATGCAAAACAGATACTATCATGTCATTAATGTTTTAGATATTTGAATGAGATGACAAAATGTTCACATTGGACATATACATATAGTTATAGAAGAAAATAAGCAAATTGATACTTTAAAAGAGAATTTGAGAGTTCATCTATACTTGTTTAAGGAGAATTTGATCATTTATCTTTAATTTTATCAAGATTGATGATGCATCATAGGACCCATACCTTTACCTCTAGTTTCCAAGAGGGTCTAACTGAGTTGATAAGTTGCTTATAAGTAGTATTCAAAAATCTCAAATTCAACTCTCTTGAAAATCACCCAGAAGAATTTATTTTTTTTGAAATATCTGAGAACCTATGTTGGGAGGTGACCCAGAGCCACACCTCTGAGGGTTTAATACCTATGATATCTAGCAAGTATAGTGCAGGAGATGTTATTGAGTAGCGTAGTCTAGTTGGGTATTATTGCTAGGGTGCTAAACTGTATCTTTATCCATATCCGAGAAAATATCTATAACCAATATCTGTTAGGATACAGATATGGTTACTCAAATCTATAACCAATAGAATATGGTTACGAATGTGGTCTTGTAGTGAAATATCTGTATCTATATGCGAAATACCGAATACATATTAGTCATATTCTTATGATAGTTTTGATTCTTAGATTATGAGTTTGTGGTTAATTTTGATGATCAAGGTGTCTAATCTTAGCTTTTCAGTTATAATGAAAAAATCATGAACTCTTTTGTATCATATGAATTATGTTTTTCTCAATACTATCTAATTTTCTCATATCAAATTTGTATCCGCATGCATATTCGTTTATATATTCGCATGTATATCTGAAACAATATCCGATTTTAGCAGATATGGATATAAAGTTTCCTTACCGAGATATATCCGTATTCATATTCGTATCCGTTGTTGGCCTTCTTGTTTTGATGATGATTTATAAACAATTTACTACTAATGTTGTTTGTCTAGTGTTTGTGCATTCCTATGTATTGTAGACAAACAACGTTGTTGGAGGATGGATGGACTGAGCCTACACGATCATATCAAGAGGAGGTTGGCGGAATTGCGGAGTGAAGCAACGTCAATTCAAGTTAAAGATCCAATTTCAAGCTTCATCCGCAACGTGTACCAAGTTGAGCTACAATGAAGATCAAGATCATTGCTTAGGTAACTTTAGTTTAGGTATTATATTATGTGTGTTAGATACTCTAAGCTCAATATCTTATACACACACATTTATTGGTTTCTTCGTATATATATATATATATATATATATATATATAAGTTTTGGATATATAGTTATATATATACATACATGTGTTTTGAGTTTTTATGATTATATATATGAAATCATATATTTCATATTTTCTATTGTGTTTTTGAAAACATTGCATAGAATATGCAATTTTGTGAAAATATTGTATTCTTAGTTTGTAGACTTCAATATCAGTTTATACATGTTTTACTAAGTCTATAAAAATATTTTACAAAGTTTCAAAAGTTGGTTTATGTCAAAACATCAAAATTCAAGTATCTCATATTTTTATGTTTTGGACTATTTTGTAAAATAATAATATTTTTCATTTGGGAGGTCCTTTCTGATAACCCAAAGTTTACATTTTTTTTATCATGTCTACAATCATTCCCCAAAGTTTTACATTTTTTAGAATTTATTTGATATTTTTAAACAGTGTTTTAAAATCAGCAAAACAGCTTTCAGACTTCATTTTTCATGTATCAGATTTTGGTCGACCGCACCGGTCGACCGCACCGGTCGACCGATCATTTGTTCATTTCTTACCATGCGACGGTCCGGTCGACCGAAAGCTCCATCGGTCGACCGAAAGCTCCATCGGTCGACCGCACCGGTCGACCGACGATAGTCCAGAATTGCTTCTTCGTGTTTTTGCTCTCTGTCGGTCGACCAACGAAATTTCCGGTCGACCGACAACAGATCCGTTGGCTTCCAACGGCTATTTCTCTGAGCTGCCTGCTGGGCCTGTTTTTGTCTTTTGACTTGGGATTTTTAGCTGAGGTTTTGAAGGATATAAATACTCTCTTTAATCTCAGTTTTCAACTAAGCCAAGAAGTTTTTAAACAAGGGTTTGAAAAAGGGTTGAAGCTTGTTTAAGCTTGTTTAAGGGTTTGGTTTAAGCTATTTTGGTTTTCACAAGTGGAGGAGATTATCTTCTTGTTTGGGCTCATATCTTCATCTCTCCGTCTTGATCTAGAGAAGTTTTCCTAAACTCAACTCTAGCTTTTACTTATAATTATTTGTTAATTATCATTGTTCTTAAGCTAGATTTTATTTGAGTTTAGTTTGATTTTGATTTCACTCATTGTTACACACACCCACTTTGAGCTTATTGTATCTTTCATACATAGTATAGTTGGGTGGTGAGAGATTATAACTTTGAGTTGTGCTTTAATTAAGTTCTCATCTATTGTAGAGAACTCACTTTGTAATACATTTGTACACCGAGTGAGGAGTGTGTGGTGAGAGTCGGGGATCGTCCTAAGAGGAGTGGCGTCGGTTGACGAGCCTAGGGAGAGGTTGTAACCGAGCACTTGAGGGAGACACGGCTAGGTCGAACACTTATTGGGTGTAAAGTGGGATTACAATAGTGTGTTGATTGTAAAGTTTTCGGTTAGCTAGAAAACCGAGTGTGAGGTGTAAACGTTATTCGGGTGAACGTAGAAAACCCGGTTGATAGTGGATTTTTCCCCGGGAGTGGGGAGCGGAGACGTAGGATGGAAGGTCCGAACTCCGTGATCATCTTGCTTGTTTGAGTTTGTCTTTGGCGTATTTGTTTTTGCATTTATCTTATATCGCCAATTATGCATTGCTCAATTATTTCATCCACTATCTTGTTTGGATCATTTACCCTTGTGTTGTTTATATATCCTTGCATATATTTCTATCATATAGGATATATCTTATTGTTCATATTACTTATTCTAGCTCATATATATTGTTGTATTTCATACTTGCTAGGATAACTTGTTAATTATTTTTAATTGGCATTTAATCAGATTAGATTAGCATAAGACCCTAATCACCCCCCCTCTAGGGTCCAACATCCGTATCCGAGATGGGTAAACAGATATGGATATGATAATCATCGTATCCGACCCGTATCCGCACGGATTCCTGTCATGACCGAATGCACCCTTTAAATATGAAGAAATTTTCAAAACCGACCTAAATCATGTTTTTATTTTCAAAATCGACCCACTTTTTTTATTTATTAAAATCGGCTCATTTTTTGCTACGTCAGCTTAATCTTATTTCCTAATTAGTCGGGGTTGCCAACCCCGACTATTTAGGATAGCAAAAACCGGGTTTAAGGCTTCTAATTGGGGTTTAACAATCTCCTAAACAGTCGGGGTTGCCAACCCCGACTGTTTAAGAATGGGATTAAGCTGACGTGACAAAAAAGTGGGTCGATTTTGATAAATAAAAAATAGGATAAATTTTTAAAAGCAACCACTTTTAAAATTTAAATAGCAAAAACAACCTCTTATAGAAAAAATAAGCAAAACCGACCCTTTTCACAAGAAAAGGGTCGGTTTTGCCAAACTAAACCCCCCACGCAAAGCTTCTTCTTCCTCTGATCCCCGAATCCCAAGCCCCGCCGTCCTCCAGGTGACCGACATCCTCCCCCGCATCAGCAGACCCCGCCACCGGGTCTCTCCACCTGGGCCAGCTTCCTCCACCGCTGGACCGCCTTCCTCCCCTTCCCACCCCTCTTCCCCCTTGCCCCCCCTCCCTCAGTCCATCCCCTCCTCGGCGCCGCTCCCCCTCCTTCCTCGGCTCCCCAGCCCCCTCTCCGTTTCCTCCTCCCCCGATGCGACCCCTCCTCCCTTCCTTCATCCGTTCCCCCGCATCCCTTGCTCACCTCCGCCACCAACCTTCCTCCTTGTCTCCAGTCGCTCCTGGCCTGCTGACCTTCAGCATCCCCAACAAACCTCAAGCCCAAAGCGCGCAGTTCAAGGGACGAATGGGAGGACCGTCGAGTCGAGCCTCAGGCGGCCTTCCCCAGTACTTCTCCTTTTCAGCCTTGGCAGGGGAGGATCAAGCCCAGGCCACAGGCGGCGCCTCGCTTTGAGTGACCGCGGCTGCCAGATGCCCGCGCCCGACCATGCTCAAGGCAACGACGGCCATTTCGGGTGTAGGCTGGGCCTAGAGATGCGCCCTCAAAGCTAGCAAGGGTTGCGTTTTTGCTGGCGACCGGCGGTGTAGATGCGCCGCCTGCCGACGCATGCTCAAGGCCAACGACGACATTGGATTTGTTGTGGGCCGAGGAGCCGATGGCGCTGCTTGCGAGCAGGGAGGCGATTGCGCATCGAGGGGCGGGCCGCCGAGCGTAGCAAGGCGCTGGAGGCGGAGGGATGTGGATGCCGGTAGTGGAGCGAAGAGCCGCCAACGGAGTCGGAAGAGTCGACGAGGAGGAAGGGGACGGTCTTAGGAAGCTGGAGCGTGTGGGGCTCGGCGAGATCGGCAAGAGAAGCGACGCCTATGAGACGCGCGCAGTGGAGGAAGATGAGGAAGAGGGAGGAGAGGGGGTGGCTTGCGGGAGGAGAGGGGGGTAGGTGAGCGAGGAGAGAGAGAGATGGGCAGGTGGTGAGGAGGGAGATAGCGACTGCACGGGACTAGCAGCCCCGTGCGGTCGATTTTGCTTATTATTTGTTGACACGGTCGATTTTGCCTATTAAAGTTAAAAAACGATTGATTTTAAAAATTTGTCCTAAAAAATAAGAAGGTCGGATTTGAAAATAAAAACATGATCTGAGTCGATTTTGAAAATTTCTTCCTTTAGATATTGCTCTTCAAAAGGCTGTGTCAGGACTCAGCAGTCATAACAAGAACTCGGGGATCCAAGTCAGGTTCATCATGGCATCCTCTGCTCTCTCCTCTCTCTTCTACCCACTCCGCCCTCGACCGCCCACTACCGGTCAACTCCACCTCCGTACCCTACCGAACCGATCCGTGCCCGTCTCCTTCCATTCCAGTCACCGCCGGTTCCTCTCACCTCCCAACAACAAACCCTCACCCTGCCCATCTATCTGTGCCGGTACGGTCACCGTCGGTGTCCCCACTCCTCTGATCTCTCCCAACGACCAATGGGGCATGTGGACCGCTCTCCTCGCCACCAGTGCTTTTGGCATCTGGTATTTATTTCCTGTTTTGTCCTTGTTTATGCACCCATTTGCCTACCACCTTCAATCTTCCATCTTTGGCTGAAATGCCTGAAGTTTTCATTTTTCGTACTAACTTTTGATGGGAGGATTTCGTTCAATTTAAATTCATATTAAGGATAAATTTATTGCCTTTTTTCTTTCAAGAGTTGGACTGAAATTCCCCCAAATGTCCTCAGAATTCAGGACAAAATGTGAGTGATACTGTTGGTGTAGACTAAAGTTTGATGGGTTTGTTACTTTCCAGTTAATCTGAAACAGAATTATGAATAAAATTACTGACAATTGTACTTTGCATTAAAAGGATAAACAATTGAAGAGTTGACTGGAGAGATGCAAATGTCATCAAAGTTCAGGTCAAACGTGAGCGAAACTGTTGATGTAGGCTAAAATTTCTAACCCATGATTGGAATTCTCTTAAACTGTTGATGTACATTATTTCTTGTTATTTGTACGATTGTCTTGACAGGTCAGAGAAAATGCAGATCAGACTACATAACTCAGGCTATTGTGTGCACACTTTTTATGGTGCTCGCAGCGAGCAGTGTTGGGAAAATTGCCCAAAATTTTATCTTTCATCCTAATTTTGTGTGTATTAGTTCCAAATAAATATTACATTTATACTAACAAGAAACAGACGTTTTTGTTTAAAAGTTGCCTTATCCTGAAGAAAATGTCATCGAACTTAAGGAAATTTAGGGCTAAATGTGATTTATATTTCTGATATAGACCAAAATTTCAGATGTCTTGCAGAATTTGCAAACCCATGATTAATATTCTTTAAAGCATATAAATTTAGCTTTTTTTGGTATTTGTATTATTATCTTGAAAGGTCAGAGAAAACGAAACTCGGGAGCACATTAAGTGGAGCTCTAGTGAGCACACTGGTGGGGCTTGCAGCCAGTAGTGTTGGAATAATAGCTGCGGAGGCGCCAACATATAAGGTTGTGCTGGAGTACTTGCTTCCCATTGCCATCCCTTTGCTTCTCTTCAATGCTGATCTTCGCCGTGTTGTTAGGTCTACAGGGACACTTCTCCTAGCTTTCTTGGTTGGCTCTGGTAACCATCCGTTCTCTGTTACTCTAGCTTCTTTTCATTTGAAATTGATGAACAAAATGTCACTTTCAAGATTTGAAGCAGGTAAGATTATATGTATATAAGATTTTGCTACCATCTTACACTAATGAAGAGAGAGTTTATATACATGCACACACAGATTTTCACCCATTCAAGAGTCTTAGCTATAATAATATGAAAAATATACTGGTTACATGTATGCTAATGTTTGACCTAGCATATTGTCACACCCCACTATTACTAAATGTAACTCGGTCGACAGTATATAACAAGGACCTCAATACATCCTTATGTTTATACCCAAGCCTTAATCACCACATACAGATGCAGGCAATCCAATCCACAGTAAGCTCACCTCCATAAAACATCAAATTAAGAGGAAGCGGTATCAAATAACAAAGTCGCAAGAACATGAACATAATATAAAACACAACTGCCACAGGCACAAAGTACATAGAGTATCTCTCCTGAATGCATCAAATCCTATAAATGGTTGGATGTACAAATGATGTCCAAAGAGAAATACTTGGTAAAGGTAAAGGATAGGGTAGAACATACTAATGTTTCACTGTAGCTCCTCGTGATCCTGAACAGATGTGCCACCCCCTGGATCTGGACAAACAACTCCAGGTCCATCATCACATAGAGCAAGTCGTAAAATGAAGGTAATATGCATGCAACATATTAGGTGAAGCAATGCTATGCATGAACAGGATATGAGCATGCATATCATACGCATGTACGAGGAAAAAGAGAAATAAGCTACAATTGCATCTGAACTAACAATGATTAAGCACTTATATAGGTACAAGTTATATATACTAGCATATGGGAACCTACACATGTAACATGTCATGATGGTCAATTGTGTATTTATATTTTATTAGTTTTGTTTCGAAAGTAGTGGCGATAGTATATGATCAAGATCGTGGCAAAGCAGTCACAAGCAACAGGTAAACATGTGGCTGGTCCTGTCATATTGTATCTAGCATCCCATATCATGCCTCGAGCCAGTTGAAATACTCCTCATTAACTTTCTCCCTTTAATATTCCGTATGTTATCTTTGTATTAGTTGACAGTACATGAATTTTTGTTTACTATCTTTTGGATATTTCAAACATATAAAGAAGAGTTAGTTGCGAATAGACCCCCCTCTAGTGTCTCCCAATTGTGAATAGACCCCCTTATAGTTCTATTTCTGGTGAATAGACCCCCTGTGGTACTAGCCCAGGTGCGAATACACCCCCGTAGTGAACTTCTTTGACTCTTTTGAAAGTTAAAAAGAAATTAGCATTTGAGGATCTATCATGACCCATAGAACTACACGGGCTCTACCTGCCTCCTTAACTCTTTTAAATGAGTTTAAGAGAAAAAAAATTCAATCAGGGTGTCTATTCGCAAAAACAAAACTACAGGGGGTCCATTTGCAATTGGGTCATACTACTGGAGGTTTGTTTCCAATTAACCTTATAAAGAAAGATTCGTAGATGAGTTGTACATTAACAGGGATCCAACCGACCGTCTGGTCGTCACCCCACTGTCGATCTGATTATGTCACCCTACTTAAAACTCCAAAGAAGAAGGCATCTGTAGCCATGAATCCCAAATAAAGTGACGTCATTGCTCTATATGTGTTTCTGATTCGAATCAATAGGTCTCAATAGCTCAATAGCCCATGAGCCTCAAAGAAAATGTTCAGTGATAACAATTATTGTGAAGGTGAATCATGAGGCTGCTCTCACTAACATGGATCCTTATCTTAATCACAATTTTGTCTATGAGAACACATTTGACATCCCATGCTACAACCAATATTCATGTATAGTCTCATGTACTGGGCACGTATCATGTTTCTAAGACCATGTTTCATGTCCTAGGGTGTCAAGAAGTATGTCATGTCCATGTTACTTATGTAAGCAAGTGTAATACAATCATGTCTAAATATAACATGAATGACAAGAATGAACAATTCCATATATAACAGAATAAATCATGATTTTAATGAGAATATGAAGAAATTGTTTAGAATTATGATGTGGACATGTCTAGATTTTTGAACATTCTACAGAAATAATATAAACTTTATCTTGCATGATTAGTTATCAAGAATTAAGTCTCAGATAAATCAGAACATAGTCGTTGTTAATCCATTGTCGTGAAGTCTCTTGCATAAACATTAACATACATTACCAGATTAACCTACACCAACTGCACACAGTCAAAGGTCGTTGACTGTCGCTGTGTTTACAGTTAATTAATCGGTGGTGTCTCTGAGTTTCTTCCTATAGATCAATATTCTAAGTTTCTAACTTTCTACAATGGACCGTCAACATATTAAGGTGCTCTGCTGCCACAACTCCAGCAACCAGGTCTTTTTTTAATTCTTTTCTGTCCTACCTATAAATTGTGGACTGTAGAATCAAGTATCTCCTTTGCCTGTTGAGCTGGCAGACCCACTTGGTATTTTGTCTGATCTTCTTTTTCGTATGAGCTCTTTGGTTTGTAGAGAATGAGGACATTAACGGTCATCACTTGTCACTGCTATGCACAGAAAACAACGATCTTCTGGAACCAAAAACACGCGATGGTCTACTGTCATCACCTCTCATTCTATGTCCAAGTTTCTGTTGTTCAGCAATAAATACAAAGTTAATTATCCATAGATTACCTATTGTAGATTAAGCATTAAGAATCCTGAGAAAGGTAACCGAGAATTATCTAACACAATTTTACAAGAAATTCATCAGAATTTTACAAGTATAAGGCAAGAATAATGGTATCTAGATTATGAACAATGAACAAACTTGCGATATATTAATCCAATCCATGTTATAACCAGAACAAAGTTAATACAACCATAGACAGACGAAATTATGACATAAATTCTCCAACTGATCCACAGTAGCCAATGATTACCAGAAATGGGGTCAAAGCTAGATGAATGCACCCATGATCCACATCTAAACATGGATAAAGTTACTCTAAGCCCTGAAGAATGAAACAAAAACGTGGTAATGTCACCAAATCAAAGGATCTATCACAGATACCTCAAAATCCATCAACTAAGCACAAAATCCTTATATTAGATTAAGAACATTGAGATGAATCAATTGAATTTGATCCACCCAATTGGCTCCAGAACTCAAAAACTTAAACAATACCTTCATTCAACCCTCATTTAGAAATCTGACGGAGAAATCTAACATGGATCATCAATTTGAGAGAATAAACGACATGAACTTATTTTAACATTAATTCTTTACTGTACTACTTTTGGCCCAAGTTTTTCTAATGCATTTTTTATGATTAACAGTTGCAACAATAATTGGAACTATCGTTGCATATCTGTTGGTGCCAATGCGATCACTTGGGCAAGATAGCTGGAAAATTGCAGCAGCCTTGATGAGTAGGCATATAGGTGGAGGTATTGTGCATGAATATTGTTATCTCTTGCATTAATAGTGTGTACATGTAAATTGTATTTGTGAATAAACAACTTGGGCTTATATGTAGATAGGATGGATTCAAGAGTTAGGCTCAGGCTTACTTTAAATATAAGATTTTTGCAGGACTTAAGCTGTTTTAGTTCACTCTATACTAGCAGTGCTTGAGTTGTGAGCTTCCTAAATTTTTCTTTTCTTATGGAAAAAGTTAATTGTGGATGTTGATACAAATAATGGGCTTGTGTGGTTCTCATATCAAAGTTAAATCCTTATTGAAGAGTGAAATGAGTGTTAAGACAGATAAATCTATTCAAATTCACTTGTAGCATTGTCATGCCAAAAGAAAATAGACCTTCTAGCCATTCCCTTCATGGAATAAGTGAAAGTTTAATGTTTTAGCATGCATTTATTCCATCTCACAGAGAGTCTCGGGATGCCTGTTGTGCATCATATTGCCCATTCTTGTGAACCTTTAGGCACTTGATCTTCTTCTTTTTAGGCTCAAGATGATGCAAAATCTTAGTTTACTTTTTTTCTTGCAACTTTTAATAAATCTCCATAAACTATGGCTGTGAATATGCAGCTGGGTTTATTATGATTTTGGTTATGGCATCAATGTTTGTTATTGTTAACTAATATCAGTTATTCAAAAATCTCTTCAGAAACAAATGTTTCTTTTCATGAAACCACTTAATTTTGCTCTCATATTTTGTGTACATAAATATCAATATACAATTACTTGATGACGACTTTTTTTCATGATAGCTGTTCTCATATATAAGATGCGATTATTTTTTAACATGAAATCTAACATATATTATTTTCTGATCGAGATTTATATTGTTGTGTAAAAAGCGTAGCTGTCAATTACGTTGCTGTTTCGGAGGCTCTTGGTGTCTCTCCATCTATTCTGGCTGCAGGATTGGCTGCTGATAATGTTATGTGTGCACTTTATTTCTCATTTCTTTTTGGATTGGCTTCAAAAATACCTCCAGAGGCTTCGACATCCATAGATGGTCAGTAGATGTTTTTTTCTAGCCATTTTTATTTCATTATGTCGAGAATTCATCTGTTCTCCATTCTCCAATGTGATCATACTCTTCAAACCCTCTCCTGAAATTTGTTTAGTAAATATGACGGACTACAAATTCTCTTCACTAAGTTGTATTAACGAGAAAATAACTCATACTTATATATGGATTTCTCCATGTGCTTTTGTAATTTTACTATTGTAATCATAGGTTAAGCTCTATGTTTTTTACAAAACAATTACATCTACTTTCTGCCACTGAGTAACTAAAGCTAGAGTTTGTAAATAACTTATTATGTACGAGAGTACTTATGAGGCTTCCACCATCCAACCTATTGGAAGATAATCCCAAGCTAATCGCAAAAATACCAAGAAGGGGAGGAAGAAGAATTTGAACCTAAAAGATATTGTATCTAATATCTTTAAGAAAAAGTTATTGTAACTCTCTAGTACTATGGAGAGCTAGAGATAATAATGACTGGGAGCACTAGGTTTCTTTTATCTTTCACTTATTTTTCATAAAGGAATTTTTATTAACTCCTTGCATGCTACCACCAAATGTCATGTATCCAATTGCATGAAGTACTAGGACAAATATATTTATTATTTACTTTTCTAACATGAAGCAATATTGGGCCAAGAGAGACAATGAACAAGAATTGATTCGTTATCTAGGTATTCTATATTATTTGTTTTCCCTCTATCCTCTGAGGAGATATTGAAATATATTTTCCACCAGTAACCTTTTTCATGGATAACACTCCCCATTGAGAAAAAGAACAAACTTCACTCGCCTTAGATCTCATAGATAGTTGCTTCAAACTATGCAACATCTTCCCAACAAGTGCCAACAATGGCCAACAAATCTAGATTTGTGTTTTCCTTATTAGTTGAAGATCAAGGAAGAAGATATTCGAAGACTACGTTTAGAACAAGATATAGACACTAACGCCTCGTTTGGTATACCGAAATGAGGTGGAATTGATTGCTAATTTCCATTTCACACTCAAGTGTACCAAATACAACATGTTTTATGAAGTTAGAATGGCCATTCTCACTTCTCATTAATTCCCATTTTATGTGGGAATGAACATTCCCTATGAGTTAGTAGAGAATGAGCATTCTCACTTAAGTGGAAATCAAAAGATTAAAAATAACTACCAAATATTCTTGATTGGTTATTAATTGCTCATGCCAAACTTTGTCATTCCCGCTTCATCATCTACTCTCATTCAAACGTGAAAAATAAGAATGAGCATTCCATTCCTACATTTATTCCATTCCATACCTTGCTTCATTCCATTCTCACTTGACTCGATTTCCACGTATCAACGAGGCGTAAGAGTTTGTAGTCATGTCCTTTGGGTTACCAATGTGCCAGTTGTCTTCATAGATTTAGTGTATAAAGTATTTGTAACATACCTAGGTCTATTCGTAGTCATCTTTATTGAGGACATTATTGGTATATTCCAAGTTTGACGAATATGAACAAGAATTGCATCAGGTATTGCAATCTCTTCGCACTCATAACTTTTTTTACTAAATTTATCAAATGTGAGTTTTGGTTATGATAAATATCTTTTATGATTTTTATTTTGTTGAAGGGGTTAGTGCAGATCCGTCGAAGGTCAAAGTTGTAGTTTCCTAGAAACATTGTAAGAATGTGACATGGACAGTGTTTTAAAAATAGGTTGATTTTATCGATTTATCGTCTACATATAGGGTTTGGGTCATGGTCGATATGATTTCTACAAAAATTTATTACATATTATTTTTGACCGATTTGTCCCGTTACATCAGTGTAAATCTGATAAAGCTGACAATTTCTTGTGGCTTAAAAATTGCCCGATTTTCTATAATTTATAGTTTAAGTGAACCTATTCGTGTTTGGATGCAAAAAGTCCTCTTTTTTCATACGCAATCCACATCCACGAAACAAAAACTATGCTATCTTATTATATTTCACATCCGCTCATCATGTAACCCTAATTCTCTTTGCCTTCACTATTCCCCCAAATCGCTCGCAAATTTCTCGTTCAAAGACCTCTGTCGACGACCTCTCTCGAAGAACCTTTCTCGATATTTCATTAGATGTGCTTAAATTATATTTTAGGATATTATATTATATATATTCACCATTTGATATGACATTTCGATTTTTATTACTTATCCCTAATATATCCTTGATAACCGTAATCCCATATGAAATTTGGACGTCCGATATATTCTGGATAATTGATATTTAAAACCTTGGACATGGGTAAGAAGTTTTCTAGGTTTCATAAGATTTATAGAAGATTTGCCAAGGATTTCTCAAAGATGACTACACCTTTATCAAATCTAACTCAGTAGAAAAAGCTATTCAATTGGGATGACAAATGCTAGAAGAGCTTTCAAGAGTTGAAGAAATGATTAACGACTGCCTCGGTCTTAGCCTGTCTTGCAGGAAACCAATTTTGTGATATATATGGATGCCTGTAAAGAAGGATTGGAGTATTTGTTATTAGAGAATGGAAGAGTTATACCTTATGCCTCATGAAAGCTAAAATCTTATAAGGTAAATTACCCAATACATGATCTTGATTTTTGGCAGCTATGTTATTGCATTTAAGAAGTAGAAACATTACTTGTATTGGGTGACCATTGTTTTAAATATCCCCGACATGGCCCGATATATCCCCTAATATATCCTTTTACAGGGCTTGCCTTAACCGATATGGTCTAAAAATATCCTTTATCGTTATTTGGCTATTTTGTGCGATATATCCGTGATATGGCTTATATATCAGCTTATATGTTGACTGATATATTGATGAGAACAAGAATTGGAAATCTTCCATATTAGCTTAGTTTTAATTTTTAAAATTTAAAATTTAAATTTTGAATTGTTGTTTAATTTAGTAGTTAATAAGTGAGAGATTTGAGGGATTCTGTGTGAGATTTCAAATTTTGTAATTGCTCTATAAAAGCATGGTTGTAATCAGAATGAAATCATTGATGAATGAAATGAAAAATTACAATGCTTAATTTGGTGTGAAACCAAAGGGTGTGAAACCCTAAGCGTAATTTTTTTTGTTCATTGTTTTCTCCCAGCCGCCACTTTCTTCTTTCCCTTCCACGAGAAAATACTTAGCCACTGTTCATCTTCTTCAACATCCAACTCATCCCCTGCGCCTCCACCACGAGCATCCCCAGCAATCGACGCCTCCACCAGCTGCCGCACTCCTACGACCAGCGCCTCCATGGCACCGAACATCCCTGCTCCCGTCAGCACTTTCGCGCCGCCTTCCCTCCCCTATTCCCTCTCCTCACACGAGCACCAACCCTTCTGCTCCTCTCTGCACTCACAACACCTCCTCTGTTCTCATCCACCCTGAACAGCAGCCGAACCCACACCTCACTGCTCCTCTCGCACCTTCACAACACCGCATCAACCCCACCCTCGTCCTCCTGTCACCGCCTCAACGTCGTCAGTTCGGATCTGATCCAAGGAGCGCCTAGGGTTCCCTTCACGCGCAGCAGGACCTCATCGATCTGATCTCTTTCAAGCTACGAGCAGCCGCCGTCGATTCCGAGCAGTCCCAACACCGTCCGAGTCCTCATCTCCGCCCGCGTCGCTCCCGTCGCCACGTTGACGTCGTCGCCCTCTCTTCCCTCAGATTGAAGACATCGCAGAGGAAGTCCTTTAGGTTCTGATCTGTTTTGATCAGACCCTACTTGGTTCATTTGGACCTGATCTGTTTAATGATCAGACCCAACTTGATGCACTTGATTTGATCGGACCGACCCGCATAGCCTTGTTGATTTTGATGGGCTTGGGCTTCACTGTAGAAGTAATGGGCCTTTGGATTTCTGTCAACATTTCTGAATAGTAATCCACTGAGGTTTCGTTTCTCTCAACTCAGTATTTTCCGTAATCTCAATTTTATTAGTTAATTTGCATGAATAATACATCTCTAAATTCTTATCATGTATTCACTGCTTAATTTATACCTGTGAGTTGAGTGAACTGAACATGTGACTGATTAATTTTGATATTGATTGTAGAACTTGCGAAAATGATAATTGATATTGCGAATAAATTATTTGAGATTGGATTTGTTCATGACTATCGTTGCAAATTCTTGTTAAAATCCATTTGTCACGTTAACTGTTTTAATTAATTTCCTACCGAATATTATGTATTTTGGCGAGACGGTGCGTTGTTCAAATTAAATCGCTGATTCTAATAGACCCCCTTCCCCGTTTCGCATCATATATCCTTTTGTATGGCTTGTCGTAAAATAATTCAAACTTCTCCGTTTTCTCTGAGAATGGATGTCGAATGTGTATTCTGTGATGTGTATGCTGGATGTGTTTTGGAGTTACAGATTTAGGCTACGAGTACAGTATATGAACGATGGAGTGGGGTTCCTGAGTATACCTTGTTAAAGAAGAATATGAGGAGAGTAAGAGAGATTAGAGAGTTGATTTACCCCTTCACTCTACCTTTATCTATACTAGAAGACTTATCCAAAATCCTAATTACATGAGGAAATAAGAAACTTTCTAAACTAAGTAAAATTTCTAATCATAATAACAAGTTTTAGATAAACTAAGGCCTCGTAACATTCCTCAAACACCGCAAATGCCAAACCAGTGAACCACCGCTAATAATCACCTTCCAACTGATATTTTATGTGTAAAAGCATGCCTCTACTGCTTCCCAAACTGTAGCAGATTCGTCCAGTGTATGCAATAGTTAGCTATCCTTCACCTCTTACCAAAAGTACCAAGGCAGCCAAAGATTATATTTTTTTTCCTATCTTGTAATACATATGATATTTCTTTTCCTAAATTGTCTTTTATAGATTTAGACATTTGATGATTAATCAAATTGTCATGAATCCTCTGAGACTTGTATTGTCTAGTAGGTGGTCTGGTGGATGATGAACCTCGTGCAGGAAACAAGCTACCTGTTTTGCAAAGTGCTACAGCTATTGCTGTTTCCTTTGCAATCTGCAAAACTGGAACATTCATAACTAAGCAATTTGGTTTCCCAGGAGGCAGTCTTCCATGTATAACGGCAACTAGCGTGCTCTTGGCAACAGTATTCCCAGCACAGTTCCGAAGTCTTGCTCCTTCTGGAGAGGCAATTGCTATGATTTTAATGCAGGTAAAGTCTTTCTCAGTTCAAAGAGTTCTAATGTGTGTATTCTGTGGTATCATATATTTCGTAATTTTTGAAACGAATCTAGTGCATTTTCTGGACATTTTCTATGGTCATCAAACACTTGCTTTGTACTTATTTAGTGTTCTAGTGTATTCAATTTCATTTATGTATCAGCCACTATATTTTAGTGAAAGAAGTTATTTAGCACAATGACACACATTACATGGTAGAAGGGAGATGCTTAGGATACTCTACAGAAACTTGAAGATTCAAGGCCTAATTCTTATACAAATATTTGAAAATGAATGCTAGATTAGTTTTCTAGCATGTACATAAACTTGTCTATGTTTGTGAGTTCAATTCTGCTGACTATTATTTCCGTCATCACCATCATCATTAATATATGATCTCCCATCTCGTTGTTCTCTTTTCCTACTTCCTAATGAATATTTTTTTGGAAGTAATTGAAGGAGAAAATGAGGGAGAAATATATTCTTCATTAACGAGGATGCAAGCACAGATTTGTCTAGCCAAATAGTCAAAGTTGCAATGGCCAGTTGTAGTTGCATAAACGTAAAAAGCATACTTTCTTAGTAGTACTCCTGTGGGAGGAATGTGAAATAGGATCAAAGGGATGTGCATATATATTTTATGACATCTTTGAAGATCCTTAATAGATGCCATCACAAGTGGAGGTTTTGATGTTCATAGCATAGTTACCCAGTATGCGGTATGTAGTGGACTGTGCTACGAATTCGGGTACGCAATTTGCCACTTAGAAAATTTGGTTCGATGGGGGTAGCTTGCTTCGGTACGCAAGTTTGTAAATCTTTTTTGGTGTGCTTACACTTTTCCAAAGTGTACAGTAGAAAACTAGAGACTAGAAAGCTAATTATACATTTCAATATCAAGAAAGTAAGAATTTGGTTTAATAAAACATTAAGAAAGCGAGATGGATCTCTGCAAGAGAAGTATTTAGTTTTTTTAGTGTACTTTTGATCTACACCCAAAAGAGTGAAGGCAGGATATGGATGTACTGATCTGCTGTACTTTCAGTTTGACTGCAGACAGAGTTCTCTCATAAAGACCAGGGTCTAGAGCAAAGATAGACCCATGAGTGAAATTCCTTTTACTCTCTGTTTGTCCAAAAAACGAAAAACAATTTCTCTTTCTCTGAGGGTAAAGGAGTAAAATGATTCACTCAAGGGGTTTATTTGCAAAAAATAAAACTAGAGGGTTCCTAGGTTCGAACACCATTATCAGGCGGTCTACCAGCAATTAACCCATTTCTTTTAATCAACATTAGATTTTTCTCTCTGGTTTCTCCGTCATCTTCTGCCCAGATTTCATAGCATAAACTTCTGTTCTTTTGCAAAAATTCCTCGTAACCTTTTTTCTAAATTTTTTTTCATGTAGTGGTCTTAGATAGCATGTTTGAATAACATTGAACAGGTCTTCTTTGCTGTCGTTGGAGCAAACGGTAGCATTGCGAATGTAATAAACACAACACCGGGCATCTTTGCGTTTGCATTTATCCAAATGGCTGTTCATCTTGCTGTGATTCTTGGAATTGGTAAGCTTCTAGGGTTTGAGAGGAAGTTACTTCTGATTGCTTCTAATGCTAACGTTGGGGGACCAACAACTGCTTGTGGGATGGCAACTGCCAAAGGATGGAGCTCTTTAATAGTTCCAGGGATACTTGCTGGCGTTTTTGGGATTGCAATCGCCACGTTTCTTGGGATTGGATTTGGGTTCTTTGTTTTAAAACGCATGTAGTCTGTTTTTCCATTTAGGGCCTGTTCGTTTGGCCAAAAAAACTGGGAAATCAAACTTTAGGAAACCTATCTCCTATTATAATTACTTTGAAGTTGTTTGGTTGGTTTAAAAAAAAGGAAATTATAGAATAGGAGATGAGATGAGATGAGTTGTCGCCTTATTATTGGATGATGTGAGTGATTTTTTTTAAAAACTTGTTTTGAGGTTGTTTGGTTGGTTAAAAAAATAAGGAAATGAATTGGAGGTATATTATTGGATGATGTTTTGAGGTTGTTTGTGTTTGGTTCGTTTTTAAAAATAAGAAAATAGATGAGATGAGATGAGTTGGAGGTATATTATTGGATGATGTGACATGTACTTAAGGAAATTAATTTCTTGTTTTTTTTTTTGAGGAAATGGGTGGAAAGGAATGTTTAATGAGATGAGATGAGTTGTCACAATATTATTGGATGATGTGTGTGATTTTTAAAAATGAGATAAAATGAGATGTGATGAGTTGGATGATGTGACACATTTCTTGTGTTTGGTTTATTTTTAAAGGTAAGAAATGAGATGAAATGAGATGAGTTGGAGGATAAAAATAATATTTTATTGGATGTTGTGGGTGAGTTTTAGGGATGGAAATGGATAAAAATATTATTTTATTGATTTCCTTGTACCGATTTCCTTTTCTTGGTTTTTAGAAAACCAACCAAACAGCCCCTTAGTATATGTAATTTATGATGGGGAAGTTCTCTTGCTTTTTTTTTTCTTTTTTTTTTAAGTTTCTTTTCTTTTCTCCCCTCGTCCAGTGAGCATTCTCTTGTGCTTGTGAACAGTAGTGGCGGTTTATGCAGTAATGGGGACGTTGCCCGCTCTGATCTTAAGGATGTTAAATTCTTTTTCTGCTCTGGTATTCAATTCTGAATTATGAAGCATATTGATTTCGTTTTTTATTGGGTTTAACTCGCTATGGAGTTTTGCTCTCAGAATGTTACTTGAAGCGGGGAGGATAAAAGTGATATGCATCCACTAGGAAGTTTTAAGTTTTATTAGCTATCTTTCAAGTAGTGGTGGCCGTGGGCCGAGTTGCCCTGTGGGCTGACCTGGCCTCTTGCTCTGGGCTGTTACCCGGCCTGGCCCATAGTTGGCCTGGCCTAACCTGGCTTGGGCCTCACCCGTGCCTCTGCTTGGGCTGGGTCCGAGGCTGAACCTAGGACCAAAGAGCTTGGCCTGGACCACTTTAGCCCATTTGCTGCTGGCCATGGGGAACAATTTATATTTTGTTCGCACTTAATCATTTATGAATGTCACATCTTCTTATAAAAAAAATTAGGATTGCAACCTTCCCTCTCGGTTAAGATATGAAATATCCCGATGAGGTGACATAAATAATGGGTATCAGTCCATAGGGAGTTGACTGTATGTCAACATGGAGGGTTTTAGTAGCATAAAGCTCTATTATGCTCACCGAAGAAGTGATTCCTATGGATCAGACCACGACTCGCATAAATGCGGGCCGGGTTTGATTTGGTCCCAACCTATGCGATGGTGCGCTAGGTTGGATCTGTGGCCAGACCCGTCACCAAGCGCCATGACTCAACCTGCACTGACCTGGTAAGGGCCCAATCTATCTAATAAGTAATTCGGCAGGACTGGGCTGCAGGTCGGGCTTAACCTAGCCCACGCCCACCCCTACCTTCAAACAACAGTGACCTCTTTCGAGCAGTAGCATAGAGAGATTATAGTGTTGGTGTAGCGGATATTTTTCAATTTTAAACAACTCCCTAGAAATAGAATATACTCACCAAGTCGCCACAAAGGGAAAAAACGAAAAGCTACTCTCTCGCCGTGCCTTAGCTACCACCACTAGTGAAGCTTTCACATAATACAAATAAAAAGAATATTTATTAGCTACTCTTCAATAACAAGAAAAGAAAAAGCTAGATGTTTGAACGTGTATAAGGCCAACTTAATTTGAATTAAGCTCTTAATTTGAAAATTTTAAAATTTATGAAAAACACGCTAAAACTTTCAAAAGTTACAAAAGCACGTTATAAATTTGAAATTTACAAAAAAAAAAAAAACATAGCATAATAATTTCAAACCTACAACCAATATGCTGAAAATCTAGGAATTACAAGCAGTCCCCCAAAATTTTGACATTTTAGAAAACACCCTAAAAGTTCTAAAATTTGCTTAAAGCTTCCTTAAAAATTGAAATTATAAGAAAACAACTCTTTCTAATGTTTTATCTTTTGAGAATGTTCCTTGTAAATGTCAAAATTTTTAGGGTATTTATTATAATTTTTGAAAGTTTTAGGGTATTTTTTGCAAATTCTAAAGTTTTCAAGGGACTGTTTGTATTCCTAGGTTTTCAATTTACTATTTGAAGTTTAAATATTTTCAAAGAGTTTCTAGAAAATTTTGCATTTTAGGGTAGTTTTTCATGGTTTTGAAAGTTTTAGGGTGTTATTTCCAAATCAAAAATTTGCAGAGGCGGTTTGTAATTCTAAGTAAGTTTAGGGTTTTTTTTGCAAATTCTAAGCATTTAGGGGACTGTTTGCAGTTCATAGATTTCAGTTTTCTATTTTAGGTTTGAAAATTTCAAGCTTTTTCTTCAAGTTTTAAATTTTTGAGGGTGTTTATGTCAAACTTTCGAAGTTTTTGGGTGTCTTTTGCAAATTCAAAAACATTTGGGACTGTTTGTATTTCCCTGATTTTCATTGAAATATTTTAGATTTGAAAATTTTCAGTTTGTTTTTTTAATTTGGTTTTTCAGGGTTTTTTTGTAATTTTCAAATTTTCAAGGTGTTTTCTTTAAATTTGAAAAATTTTAGGATATTTCTTGTAAACTTTTAAACTTTCAGTATTATTTGTATGTTTTGAACTTATAGGATGTTTTAACAATTTTTGAGAATTTTGAAGTTTTTTTATAGTTTTAAAATTGTTGGGTGTTGTTTGTAATTTTCTATTTTACAAGGGGATATTTATAATTTTTTTATTGTTGGGGCTTCTTTGTAAGTTTGATACTTTTTGGTCAGTTTGCAAAGAGCTCTCTAAAAGTTTACAAAAAAAAACTTGAAAATTTACATATATAATACCATTACAGTTAAATGGGTAAATGGGAATGGGAAGTGAGCTTATTAATGGGGGGTTGCTAAATGAGCCATAAATAAGCAAAATATACTCACCTATATATAACCCACCCGTTTATGACCCATACCCACCCATTTAACATCCATATGCCGATAATATGTACTTTGACATAAACCCCCCTCTTTCATCTATTTCTATTTATTTACGTTTTGTCGGTTGCATGTCGGTATTGGAGCATCTGCAATCTAAAAATTAGATGGCATGCAGAGGTACATGAAAAAGAGTATTCAAGAACCAGAATGGAATTTCAATTTATATAAGGGTGACAGTAAAGAGTAACACAAAAGGTAGAAATAGAGAGAATACTAGTGACAAAGATCACCGTTTGCAAAACTGCCGCTGTCACTATCCACAACTAATAATCTAATATATAAAAAGAAATGTAAATCTAAAGATGTATCGTCAATCATGCGTTCATCATATATAACTCAATAGCGGTAATTAATACAAAGCACACGCTAAAAATAAAAAACCCTGAAAACCCTGACGGCCAAAGTGATATTGAGTATCTATGGCAAGTTCCTTCAAATTCTACAAAGAAAACAATGCATCTTGGAAAAAAAAATATCACAAAAGGTAGTATTCAGGAAACGAGCTTCACATTCCTCAATGCCGCTGTAAGAAGAGGAAGTTTCACTGGTGCCCGCAGCTTGTAATCCTTGACCAAAGATTCAGCAGCTAGGGTTTGCAACTCTGAGCTCTCCTCTTCCTTGTTTCGCCCCTTAGAAAGCTGATTGATGGCAGCAATACACTGATCAATATAAACAGTAGCATAGTTAGTGATGTTATCCCTAAAAGATACATTTAAGTTTTTTTAATATTAGTCCCTTAAATATCTAATATTTGGAAATTAGTCACTCAAATCACTGAAACTGCTATAAGGTTCCCCAGTTCTCAAGTTATTTTAAACTTAGTCCCTCAAATCGTTAAAATCGTTACTAGGTCCCTCGATTCTAGTTAGTTGTTTCAAACTAATCTCTCCAATTGCTCCTACTCTTGTTTAGAGGGACTATTTTGAAAACTTATGAGAATTGAGGAACCTTATAATAATTCCAATGATTTGAGAGACTAATTTCAAAATAACTTGAGAAATGGGGGACCTAATAGCAATTTCAATGATTGAGGGACTAATTCAAAATATTAAAGATTAAGGGATCAATATCAAAAGAACCTAATACATTAATGATGTGAATGTGGAAGAGAGACAGGAGAAGTGGAAGACAGTTTACCAAGCATACTCCATAGAGAGCTCTAGTGTTCTTGCCGCCGGTCAAGTTGATGGTAGAGGCATAGTACATCTTGGCTGTTTGGAGGTTCTCCAAACCACCCATTGTATATAACACCTACTATCATGTATTTGACAGCATCAGGGAACAAGGAAACAACAGATAAAGGACTATTTATCTACTATAATACAAGCGCCATCTAATAAGGTTTAGGTTGTTTTTCAAGGCAAGATAGTTTTTATCCCCAAGTTTGGGTTGTTTTTTAAGGCAAGACAGCTTTTATCCCTAAGTTTAGGTTTCGGCTATGTGAATAATATTCTTCCATTCAGTTCAGTTCTGTTAAGGGCTGTTCCTCCATTAAGTTAACTACTAGAAATTAGAAGGTTATGGCAACAGTTAGTTATCAGAGGAGGCAGCCCGTAACAAAACTGAATGGAAAAATAGGGTTCACATAGCCAAACCAAAACTTTGGTACAAGTTTCTGTTGCTGTTTCTGAAGAAAAATAGCTCTCCAAAGAATACTAGTGTTCAAACTAGAGAATCAATAAGGTAACAAGATTTAGGTTACAAAAACCAAGCAACAAGCAACAATAGGACTAGCATGAGTTTCAGAACGGGGTAAATTTCAGAAAGTCCCCAGTAAGTTTGAGCATTTTAACAAAACCCTCAAAGATTTTGGAAATGCCACTTTAACCCTCAATTAAGTTTTGAGAAATCTAGACAACCACCAAAACTTTTTAAATTTTCTCACTTAACCTCGAAACGGCATTAGTCGACAATATTTAGCAGATAAGAGTTCCCTCGAAGGGCAAAAATTTAACCCCAAAAAGAAACCATTACCAAAGTATAACCTACAACTCCCATTTTTTATCTGAAACTTAACAATTAAAAAGAACCCCTTTGCACCGTCCTCTGTTGGGGGCTTTGGTCTGTTGGGGGCTTTATCAAAGCAGTGTGAACATGGGGTTTTCGAAAAACAGTTGGAAAAGTTATGGAGGCATTTAGCCTTTTGACGGCATGCGATTTGCATGTGAGACGTCAGACCTAACAATGTCAATTCTGGAAGTTTTCTGACAAAACTGGGAGTTAAGTGAGTCAGTGGCATTTCCAAAGTTTTGGATGTCATGTAAAAAACACCCAAACTTATTGGGCTTCTCTTTTATTTATTGAAATTTACCCTTCAGAGGATACAGAATGAAAAATCTTGTTTGGTGTGGTTTCCACAAAAAGATCATGGAACATTTTTTATCACCTTTGATCAAATTTCATTTTTCTTAAAGAAATAAATGATCTGTCCTTTTGGTAGAAAAGAAATTCACTAGGCTTAACCGACTATTTAAAGCAACAGGACTAATAATCTAATTACAAAAGTACTATCCTCTTAAGTGAAAACTATCAATTATAGGATTAGCCACTCGCCTCTGCATAGGCTAAGTGATACGGAGGAACCAATGGCTGACATAATATTAGCTCTTCATAACAGAATGCTGCTTGCTTATACCTGAATGGAGTAAGAAACAAATGTTATATCTGAAGTGAAAATAAATAACATGAACAATAAATTAGATGACTTACATTTGAAGGGAAACATAAATTTCAGCTAGTTCTCTCCAGGCATCGTGATCAGCCATAAATCTGAAATAAGATAACTCAATATAACAATGCATGCATAAACACTTAAAGAAACAACTAATTACTTCTATTACAATAACTGAAGAATAACACTTACATTTCCAGGTATTTTCTAAGATATTCAACAACAACAGAAGCGTTTCCCTGTGCCTTTGCCATGGCAACCTTCCTCTTGTGTATAACCTAAATATAGTTCTCATAACAATCATGCATCAAAAATAACCTAACTATAAGTTCAAGAAGAAGTAACATGTGCAATTCTGGAGAAATATGACATAACAATATTGAATACAACCACATGAAATTACCAGTTGCTTGTAAGAAATAAGTTTAGGTATTATTTTTTTGGCATCAATGAATGAAGAACCGTCAAGTTGTGTTTGTATAGCAGTAGTTGGAGCACCATGTTGTTCCAACTTCATTCAAATTTCAAAATACATATTTGGTTCAATGTTGCTACAACACCAATTGCAAAAAGTAAAACAGATTAAGGGGATTGAGCTAGGCGCAAATTCAATTTGAAGAGTGTGGAACAGCAGACACTAGAGCTAAATGATGTTGTAAATGCATTTGTTGTTCAGATTACTCCTAACCAAACACACTCTTGGTGTCAATAAATGCTTTTCAATCCAATGAATATCTATTTTGATATTGAGATTTAATTTCTTTAACCTCGCTGTGCGCTACACTTAACCAATCTATCTTAGGTTGGAACAATCAAACTGTTATTCAGTAACAAAGTGACAAAGCTACCTGATCGAGTGGATTGTCCTCTAGGAGACGTTGATAAGCCTTCTCTGCCTCAGGCCATGCTCCCTTTACTTCAAGCAGCATTCCCTCCAATCTGCCTAAAAGGTTTGTAAAGGAAAAGAAAATTACAAGAAACCAAGCCCCTGCCAGTATTTAATGGAAAATTGCAAAACAAGAGTATCTCTAAAATACACATTATTCATCATACTCTAATGGAGAAGAATGATTCCCAATTTATTTATTACATCATTTTAGCTTGGTCATCTAATTAATTAATTAAACCAGTTGGTCTATATAATTTACATATTTTTCCAGATTTTATTTGTGTACTTTTGTCAAAATTGAAATTTTTTTTCCAGAAATTGTATTTTTGGAAATTCCCTCGACAATTGTTTATTTTGCTACTATAATTCACCGAGTCACCCAAAGGTGACAAATAAAAAGCAGCACAGACCAAAGAACTGAATGAACCAAATGGTGAATAAGCAAGGAATCACCATGCTGAGTTCAATATCTATTATCTCTAACAAAATGCAAAAAGGAAGCCTATGAAATGCAGCCTTCCTTATATCTTAGGAAATATTTTCTACATGGCACTTCGCTACTTGTTGGTATTGAGTTTGAGTTCAATTCCCCATGGCAAGGTTCATCATCATCCCTTACTTCTAGACTCTTTAATAGATTGGAAGAATTTTGGAAGATTGCAGCTTAATGGCATGAGCTTGATTCATAACTCAATGAGTAGTCTGTCCACCATCTTATTAGCAGATTGTTTTAAGATCACCCATCTGTTGCCATATTCACTTGGGTAATAATTTAGCACCATTTAGAGGGCTGACAAAAGCTTTGTGTGAGGGTCCATAATTTTGGCCAATGGTGTGAATTACAGAAGAATAGATAAAAGGCTTGACAACAAAAATATTCATAGTTTTGCAGCAGTATCGGATCAAAAATTAAGCCAAGATCACCCATTCCTTGAACATGTAGGCTCTCAACATGTTTTAACCTACATTTAGCACCCAACATGAGGGGATCTTTCCTGTCTGAGAAGGTCAACAGGAGATAATTGAGAGCCAGGGGATGATCACCTCATGATAGAGATCCATGAAAAACACTCACCTCCATTTTCAAGACTTGCTAGGCAACCCCAAAGTCATGCAAGGGTAGGTTGATTTTGAGTTATAGGAGCAAAAGAGACTTTACGGAAACAAACTGAATCATAAGGGAGTAGATACAAACGCATGCTACTTTAGCCGGTAGGCATATTGACTGGACAACACTTTTGAACTTACTTTTAGAAGAAGGCCAAGTTGCCTATTCAGATTTAATTGGGGGTTCGCTGCAATTTACAACCAACCTATTGCAGGTCAGGGTATTACTTTAGGAACCACAATGAAAAATCCATGCATATCAATGTTGTGGGAAACAAAAGCATGAGTAAAGCAATAACAGAGCTTAGGCTTCAGGAGGCTTTAGCGAGTTCTAACAGCAATGCCAAGTTTCCTTGGAAAATAAAATACTAGAAGAAACAAAAATTCGAAAAAGTATTGAGGGAATTAAAAATTAAGAATTGGCATAATAAGGAAGACAAACAAGTAACAAACACTAAATTTTAACGAAAGCAACAAACATTAATAAAAGAGGATGTATACAGTGTAAAAATTTAAACCTAAGTGAGGGCTAAAACATCCTAAAAGCAGTATAGCAAAGTGGGAGCTCGAAAGGGGCTTTCAAAGGCTTCTAAGACTTCTTAAAACACTCATGTCAATTTTGGCTATTGGTTAGATGATGGCAAGTCAGGACGGGAAGGATTTATGTCCACTGACCATTTTACACCCTTTATTTAACAATTATCTTGATTTCGGCTATAGGTTGGATGATGACTAAGTCAGAATGAGAAGGATTCATGTCCAACTGACCATTATACAATCCTTACTTGTAACTCAATAGACCATTTTTCTTATGTTGTCTCCTTTAAGTTCAGCTGCTATCAAGATCTTCTCCCTTCCTCTCCCTTCACAATAAAAGTTGGGTTTTTAGCAAATATCCTCTTATGTACTAAATAACATCTTTCATTTTGTATTCTGCCTATCTATTGCAAGACCTTGTGAATGGGTTAATCTGCAAATGACCCTCTAACCACTAAATAATTATTAATTAAGACCAATCAAATGACTTATTAATTTTTACAAAATTAAAAACATGGGTTTTTCCTAGAAACCACCTTAAAATAAGTTAATTATAGGAAACCACCTTTCTCAAGTTCAATTTATACATTAACCACATTTAAAATGGGTTTTTGGCTGCGATCAACCACCTCCCAGTCAAATTTTCACAAATAAAAAATAAAAAATAAGCACAAAGAAATTCAAGTTCAAGGTACGTGAGTTGTATCTTAACAATTCCTAAACAATAAAAAATGGTGTCACATGCCATGTATGTGTGTTATTAAGGGTAATTTTGAGTGTTTAGTGAAAATTTTGACTTGGAGGTAGTTGATTGTAACATAAATCCACCTTGGTTTACGTATAAATTGAAATTGAAAGGTGGTTTCTTTATAATTACCTTATTTTAATGTGCTTTTGAGAAAAAAAACCTAAAAACAATTAATTTTTCATTTTCTGGACAAGATTAATTTATTTCAACTCATCCATTTTAGAACTACACCTGCAAGCATATATTCTTTACTTAATAGCTTGCACATATCAGCATCAGATTTTCAAGTCAATGTGCTGCCTAAGGAATCAGGTGGATATTCGGTGTGTGTCTGTGTGCGGGTGTCAGGGTTGGGCTTTCTTTTTTTCCCTGGGGCTAAGATAAATATAAAATAATATATTTAGTGAAAATCATTGCTCAGTTCATTAAATTTCATGATTAAGACACTGAAACAAAGTCAATTTTTGAGGAAAATAAACAATGTCTTCAGGAGACTTACTAGTTTAATCTTTATAATAAATTTTCAGTCTTGATCCTAATCACCTCAGCAAAGATAATTGAAACTCTTTTCATATATAATAGTAAATATATCTACAAAATTTTGATATGATAACACTCACCAACTCTCATGCTACCAGGAAATTGCTTTCTGAGTTCTGCTATGCAATCCTGCAAAATTAGAATTCCAAGTTGCATACTTTGTTTCTCATGACAAAACGCACATAAATACTGTGCTTTTACTAAGGAATACAAGAAGTTATATTATAACACAATAAATATTAAAAACCAAATTCAGCATAAGATATAATGCTGCTCGCTCTTCAATGTAAATAAAACATAAATTGGCTAGAGGCACTAAGGAGCTTAAATAGTTGAGAAGCATAGGACTAGAAGCTGTAAGGAACAAAAGAGTTAATAGAAGTGCTTTGGAAATTTACACGTTTGTTTCCGAAACATAAGCTACAGTTTTAGGGTTTCATGTGTTTCCAGCACAATTATGCATTACAGCTTCCTTGGATACTGATTGAAGCCTACCGCTTTGTGAAATTACATAATCACAAGTTTCTACTTGAACATCAACAGAAGCATATGCCAAGGTAATTTTACAGACAGGCACCGAAGGTTGTGCCTCAAGAACATGATTTCATGTTACTCACAATATAAATGATTCATGTCTGATCAGATTTCATGTTGCTAAAACGTGTCATATGTTTAATCACTTAATTCTTTCAGGGAAGTTTCTAGTTGAACATCAATAGTAAGTATATGCCTAGCCAACTCTACAGGCATAGGAAACAAGCCAGAATTGTTGTGCCACTTCCGGCCTATTTCATTGTGTAATGTTTTGTATAAAGGGTCAACAAGATATTTGTTGGAAAAAAATTCATTCCTTATTACACTAAAGTATAGCTTCTAATCAATGCAGCTTTATACCAGGGTGACAAGCAAGTGATACTATAGTGGTGGCTCAAGAAATACTGCACTCAATGCGGAAGATAAAGGGGGAAACAAGAATGATGGCGGTTAAAGTCGATTTAGAAAAGACGTCTGACAGAGTGCAATAAAAATTCTTCATCAATTGCCTAGCAGCTTGCTCAAAGATCCAAAACTAACTGTGATTGTGCCTCAAGAACATGAATTCCATGACAACACAAGTATCAAGGATTTGTTTATCATCAAAAGCATGATTAAGGTTATAATGTAATCTTTAGCATTATCTACTCGAAGTATATAAACATTGGTCTTGACATGCACTATATATTGACAATTATCTGCTGCATCAGTTCATACATGTAAACATAAGCGACAAAAGTGCTTCATCTATCTCGTCATTGTATCAGACCCATAATTCGAACATTAGACATCAAAATGGCATAGAACAAATAACGCGACCACTGGATATGATCTCAAGTGAAAGGAAAACATATATATCTATAATCAAATGCATACATGTAGATGCATATGTAATTTGTACTATGCATCATATGCATTAAATTTAAAACTAAAATAAGTTCTTGAAACAAATTTTAGAGTTTTCTATACAAATACAAGAAATTATTATCATTAAGAAAATGCCATTTTGAAACTCAAGAAATGCAAAAAAAGATTTATCTATTTAATAATTAATATATATTTGTATATCATTCTTAATATGTAGTCTCTCCATTGATGATTAGATTTTTAAATATTATATATTTCAAATCAATGTAACTAATTTTTAAATGAACTATTATATTGTTGGATAACAAAGTTTGTTTAATCCCAAGTCAACAGATAATGTAATTGCATCCTATTTGTCTTCCTATAATTTAAAATTGACAGCCCCCCTTCCCCTCCTCCTCTCTTGAACAAACCCAATCGACTACACTCGATGGCGCTCCCGCTCCAGGTTGCCTCCATTTCCACTTGCCGCCCACAACCCCCCAATACCTCTCACCAGTATCTCCACCGGCACCATCCACTTTACCGCCACCCTATACCACAGTTCGCCAGATCTTGGCTTTTGATCAGGTTGAATTCCCCCTCAAAAAAATTTAAAAATTAAAGAAAAATGAATTGATGCGTGTGATCTACAGAAGAATAAAGGCCGTCCAATCATTGTTGCACAGGAGAGTATCTTTAACAAAATAACTAAAGAGAGAGGCAGTACCTTTGCAATATCAACCCTCTGACAATCCATGGCAGCAATAGCTACTTGCTCATAAAGAGTCCACTCTGCACATTAATAGACACAGTACTTAGTTTAGAATAGCATCTACCAGTTGGACAACGCTAAAATATGAAGTAAAACATCACATTAAAATCAGTTACAACACTGAACTGCTTTACACCAAACAAAACTACAAAGCATCAGTGGCAGGGCGTCTATGTAAGTTACCGAATTTCAATAATATAGCCACAAACAAGAAATCTGAAATTTCTGACTTGTAACAGTCAGCTAATAAAGAAAACTTATTGTCAGGATAATGTCTTTCTTTCTCAAGAAGATCAAAATGCAATACGAGTCAAAAATCAGATTATTCAGTATTAGAAGTGCTCTTTATCCAAACTTTGATCTTTTCCCTTTCCAAATGAAGCATACAAAGCAAGAGCAACAGCAGAAATACTAATCCAATCTCCATCCACTAAAGATCGACTCATTGACATATTATGGACCTAGGTGCATGAATACAAACAATTTCAAGTCTCAAATTCATATATATGATAACATCTATACCAAATTCCAATCCAACAGGGAAAGGATCAGATAACTAGATAATGAACCCTTTCTGGTATGGAGAAGATGTTTCTCCTCATTCAGATGAAGATAGGAATCTGTCTAAGCTTAGCCATGAAAGGAATCTCTCATCAGTTCAAGTCGTTTATGGCTGCAAGAGGCAAATCAACCAATTCAAGTTCATCAAAAATCACTGTGCATCCAAAGATGTCAAGACATTTCTAAACTGTATAATCTATTTTCTTAGTTTCTCTGATTCATTGTCCAGATTTCTTAGTTTCTCTTTGATATACCATGCATGATATACCATGCACACATTAACATATTCTTGTTAATGCCAATGATTAATTGTAGAGCAAACCGGTAGCATAGAATGGTTCTAATACTTATGTAATTAGCATAGTATGTGATGTTAATTAAGCAAACGATTGCAATGATGGTGATCCAACATATTTAGACCTATTACCTATAAAAACTATTGAAAGTAAAGTTTCATGTATCCCATTTCTAGTTCTTTTACACTGCCAAAATAAATTTTCTACTTAAAATGTTAAATGTTAACCTATAAAAATTATGTGCTTATTATTTATTTTCTCCATATCAATATCAAATTGTTTCGGGGAAGTGATTTGTCTATGACTATAGCTCAACTCCTAACACGTCCAGCCAAAATAGAACAAACTTTGCACAATCAGAAATCTTAATTTCAAGTAGCCAAACAACAACTTTTTCAATTACAAGTTACCGAAGAGCCCAAACTCCACAAACCAAAATCCAAAATCATTTTCAAACCAAGAAAATAGAATCCAAATCTGGGCTTCACCCCAAGCATGGATGGAGCTCTAGGATCATTCAAGATGGCAAGCACATGCTTGAGGACTTATCAGCTCTCCAAGCTTTGAGCTTGTGAACGAGTCAGAGATACTCCATGAGGCCTCCAATGCTATTGTCGACATGGATCTCAAGGCAGACTGAGTCTCGATTCCTCCACTGCCCCCACCATGGAACCCAAATTACAAGAAAGAAAATCTCTGAGGAGTGGAAGAAGGATAACCAGATTTGGGATCGGACCAAAGCGCCTTATTTTTTTCCTTTTTATGGGAATACATTAGCTTTTGGTGTTATTGTGATGTGATAAATCTGGCCAGTTTGTTCATGATTTGAATCCTTAGTGGATCCAGTCTAGTCAATATTGACCCCACTTACATCAATCGTCTGTAGCCAAGAATAACATGGGGAAATTATGTTTATAATCATTTAGTTTCCTCTAATTTTTTATAAGAAATTCTCTTCCCTTAATCTACTTTATGAAAACTTACATTTACGTCCCTTATTTTTTTTGTTAACATTCTCTTATCACCCTTACCTTTTCAGTTAAAAAGATATTTAGGATCCTCTTCCTTTAATAAGAAGGATTTTTTTAACCTATAAACACCTAACTCTACCATATTGCAAAGTTATCCTCCAAATACTTATTCACTAATATTCAAGGTTATCGATAGCGGATAGCGTCGTATAGTGGTGAGGCATCGCTAAGGTTATTTGGGGCTCTTGCAGCAAAATAGCGGTAAAAAGCGCAAAGTCAAATAACAGTCCAATTTAGATATGTATAAATATTAAAAATTAAAAAAATTAAAAAAAATCTAGAATATTTAAAATGTATTTGATGATTTAAAGAGATCATAAACATGAAATAGATATGTAACCGTCACATAACACCAAAGACGACTGGAAGAGTCAAAGAGTCGTCGTCTTAGAAAAAATGAGCTTAACGGTGAGAGAACTGCACTAGGAGGAGCTCACAGCAAGGGGAGGCGAGAGGAAGTTCTGAGGGAGGTGCGAGAGGCTATGGGAGGCGAAGGGAGTACGCGAAAAATTAGGGCAGGCGGTGGGATGTAGTGGTTACGGGTTGGGTTTAATTTTAAAATAATAAACCTCAAACCGCTTTTAAATAGCGGTCAAAAAGCGAATTTTGCCTGCAATAGCCCGTTATTCACTGCTATGATGCTATTGGCCGCTTTTGCAAGTAAAAAACACATATTCCGTAATATGACACCGCTATTGAACGATAGCATAGCGGGAAGAGACCGCTAACGCTATTCGCGCCGCTATTGCTGGGCTATTTACCGTTATTTATAACAGTACTAATCTTCCCTACATTCTTCACATGAATCAAAATACACCTCACTCATGACATAAATTTTCTAGTAGAGTAAGAGAAAATAACAATTTTAACCTCTCATTCTCTCTCTCCCCTCTCACTTATGCACAGTGTTTTAAATATCGACCGACATGTCGGACATGTCGGCCAATATATCGAATTGAGGGGTCGAGCGACACGAATCGGTCCGTTTTGAGTCGTATATCGGTTTTCAGGAGGAATTCGGAGATGTCAGGGAAATATCGGTCATGTCGGCTAATTTTTCACCTTTGAAAAATCGGCCTAAATCCCCAGTTTTCGGTTTAAAGCTTCTTTGGCTTATTGGGTTTGGGTTTTGTGATGAAAACCCATACCCATTTGACCTGTGTTGAGCTTGAGGGACTTTTTACGAACCCGAACCCAGAAAAGGAATCGATACTCGATAAAAAGAAAAAAAAAAGCAAAAAGCTAGGGCTACAGGACGGCGACTGGGAACTTGGGAAGAGAACAGCTGCCTTCATCTTCTTCGTCTCTCACTCGCCGACATTGCTGCCTTCGACCTGTGTTGAACCTGAGGTTTCAGCCACATTCAACCGCCTTCAAAGTTCTTGCTTCAGCCACCTTCGACCGCCTTCAAAGTTCTTGCTTCAGCCGCCTTCGACCGCCTTCGAAGTTCTTGCTTCCTGAGGTTTCAGCCGTCAGGTATGTCAGAGAAGTTCTTGCTACAAAGTTCCGACATCAAGATTTCTTTTTCTCGTCTGATTCTCTCTCTCTCTCTCTTTGGGGTTCCGGCATCGTTTCTCTTCTATTTCTTGATGTTTATTATTACCATCAAGATTTTAGTATTGATTTCATCTGGTTTATCTTATTCACTGTTTCCCCTTATTTTTACTATTTTTTATTACATTACATTATTCAAATAGCTCCATGCTTTTTATTGTTGTAAATTATTCATTTGTAGAATTTAATGTTTGTCAACAGAGGGAAACAGTGAATAATCACAAAGGGAAGAAAATTCTAGTTTAGGAATGCTTAGATTACATTTAGGACATGATATTATACATATGCACATCACCCGATATGGCAATCCGATATTTAGTCCACATCCATCGATATATCCCCAATTTCCGTTATCCGGCATGGATTTTAGCCGTCCGACATGAACCCGACATCCAATATTTAAACCTTGCTTATGCATACCCATAACCCTAACCCCACCCACCCCTACCACTATTGGTTGCCAACCACACAAACACATTCTAACCCTGGTGACAACTCTTCTTTTTCTTCAGCTCTTCGAAGCTTCCTTGCTGTTGAAGATTCATCTCAGTCGAACCTCAAACACCTAGACTTGGTTAGTTCTTAAGTTCCCCAAGCTTCCATCACTGTTGAGGAGGATTTTGTCCTAAATTCTAGCTTTAGTTTAAGTGTTTAATTGATAACTTTTATCTAAATAGCTAGTTAATTATGATGTACGCATGGATAATAGATTGAGTGTTTAAGTACTTAATTAGTTATTGATTATTCAGTTACATGTTTATTGGCATTTTTCTTAGTATATGTTCCACTATCACTAATTATATATACATATGTATGAAAAATAATAAATATATGTTAAAATTTTTAAAAAAGTAAAATTCCGCATACTGTGATTAATCGGTGCATAATACTATTAATTGTGACTCGCTTTCAGACCTCATGCATAATAAAACCATATTTTTGAACGTTGTTGTGATATAATGGAAGATACTATATTAAGAGTATAATAAAGGATTAACTATTGACTAATAAGGTGTAAAAAATTAAAAACAGTTCTCGTTCCCATGTGTTCTCTTCTCATGTTTGGGTATGGATGTCACCAGCGAGGATGACGCTTTGAGGTTTTACCATTGTTGTCATTGGGGTGTTGCCAGACTGCCTAGGGGTTTTGTTGTTAGGGTTTTTGCTTTTCTATTCTCAACATTAAGATCAAGAAGTTGCAAGAACATTATGTTAATGCTAAATACATCTTAGATGTTATTGGAGAACACAAGTCGACTCTTAAGAAGGTTTTACAATATAACTAGAGCACAATATCCTAACTCCAAATATATCATGGTTTTGTCTTGTCACAAACCAACTTTTAAATAAGGCTTTTCTCTAAGGATTCTTTTTAGTTTAACTGAAATTATTGGTTAATGATAATCGTTTCTTTCTTGAGCACGATTAATAGAGATATGTGATGATTTCTCAAAAACACTTTGTTGAAAGTTGATGACTAATTGGTTTTCACAAATATATCAAAGACTGATTTGAGGCATAAATTATATATAAATTTATTATATTTTTTGTTTTCGTATGAGATTTTCTTTGATTTTGTCAAAATTAGGGAGCAGATAGTTTATTCTGTTACTTTTTTTGTTTAAAAACAAGTAGATTGCTTTAATTGCTTAAGAGGAACCAATCAAAGTAATCACAGATATTTATGAACTGTAATTCTATTGGTGGGCACGAAGTTAGATGAGAAAATTACAAAATCAGAGATCAGGGCACTAAAGGAGTTGTACTAATTTATTCAGTCATAAGATATTTGGTCACAAGAAAAATGAAAACCAATTGGCACAAGTCCTTCCTCAACTCCATATCTTATGACCGCATCCTGGATCTTGTTATCTTCTTCATCTAAATTTATACCCACTAAAAAAATTATAGTCCGAGGGTTGGCACTTTGAATCAATTCAATACATTCCTCTAAGTAATTAAAGAATTTAAACATCCACTCGTTTTGACTGAAAAGGTAGCAGAATACCATCCCCTCCTAACTTTGACAAACCATCAAATCAAACCTTTTAGTAAGAAAAGGCAAGAAATTTAATTTGAATGATATTTTCTACCTCAAACTAGCCCTCGTATATATTTGCAAAAATAAATTGGTCATCAATGCTTTGTGAGAAACTGGAACATTTATTTGGCAATTATATAAAAGAAAAGAAAAAAAATATTTCATTATCCAAGAATTTAAATTAAATAAAAAAAATTCCGGGGGAAAACCTTACTCATGACCATGATACGGCACGAAGTTAGGATATTGTGCTCGATTCACATTGTGCTCTCCCATCACAGATATATCACATACGCATTTACTGTTGACATGATGCTCTTGCAGCTTTTAGATCTTGATGCTCTCATACCACCCATATATATTTAGCGTTCCCTAATGTTCTTCTAGTGTTCGGATAACCAATGTTATATGCAATTACTTGGGAGATTTGTTCTGTCTAGGTCCAACAATCTTCGTTGCTCAACTTCAAACACATCCAACCAAAAACCGAACCTAATTTAGCAAGTCAATACTATCGAGTCTCGATTCCAAGTAGGCAAAAAGCAAACCCTAATTCAACAATACAAAATAAAAAAATCGTTCAAAAAAGAGGTGAAAATGAATCACCTTCACCGCCGAGCTTAGATCGAGCTCGGTGATCGTTCAAGATGGAGAGCCCGTGCTTGAGGACCTTATCAGATCTCCGAGCTTTGAGCTTGCGGACGAGGCAGAGGTACTCCCAAGCGCCGCCGCCGCCATTGTCCACCTGGATCTCGAGGCAGTTCAGTCTTGATTCCTCCGATGCCCCCACCATGGATCGCAAATTACGACTAGAACCACTGGAGGTAAGAAGAAGAAGAGATTTGAGATCGGAAACAAAGCGCCGGCTTCTTTCCCCTTTTTCTTGTGAGCGGACGAGTTCAGCTTTTTGCGTGTTATTTTCGCGATGTGAGAGAATCTGGCGAATTTGTTTGCGCTTCGGATCTTTAGTGGGTCGAATCTAGTAACAATTACGCCCATTTAAATGATCGACCATCCACAGAAACAAACCAAGGAAACCACTATGGTTAGATCTAGCGCTCGATGTTAGACGGAATTATTATCGGTTACTCTTTTTTATCACTAATAACTAATAACTAATAATAATAACTAGTATACAATACGTGTATTGCATGTGATACCTGTTAAGAAACTATAAGGAGGGGTTATTCATTGGTGTAATTTGGGGGATAATAGGATAATTTTTGGAACATTATTTTTTGGTGTTATTCGTTGGGGTAATTGGAATTGGAGTCAACTTTGTGGTGTTATTGGTTTGTTGGGGTAATTGGGGGACAAATACTACACTTTCCCCTAAATTACACCAACTATATAAAGATCCCCTCCACCCCTTCCTCATAATCACTCCAAATTTACCCCCATCCTTCATATTGGAACAATGTTGTTCCACTTTGAAGACAATTGGGATAATTTTAAAATATTTTTGTATTACTTAACTAATACATGCTATTTATATTATAAATATATGATATGATATATAAAATATAACATATATTAATATTTTAATAACATAATTTAATAACATATATTAATATTATTATATAATAGTAATTATAGTATAACGTATTTATTATAATATTATATAATATTTTAATAACATATATTTATAATATTATGAAATATATTATTATATAATATTAATTAGTAATTATAGTATAACGTATTTATTATAATATCATATAATATTTTAATAACATATATTAAAATTTTAATAACATATATTAATAATATTATATAATAACATATATTAATATTTTAATAACATATATATAATATTTTAATAACATATATTAATAGTATTATGTAATATATTATTATATAATATTAATTAGTAATTATAGTATAACATATTTATTATAATATTATATTATATATATATTATTTTAATTTTAATATAATATTTTAAAAATATTACATTGAATAAAGTAAAATATTATAATATTTTATAAAGTACATTATATCCTATGATACTATATTATAATATATTAAATTAAATAATATATTATTAAAGTATTATATTATATATATTATTCATATATTATATCAATTATTATATAATGTAATATACTAATCTAATGTTAATTAGTAATTATTGTATAACATATTATATTTTTTATAAATAAAATAATGTATTATATTATTAAAATATTATATTAAATATATTGATATTATATTATATTAATTATTATATATAGTATAACATGCTAATATAATATAATACAATATAATATAATAATTAATAATAGTAATTTGTAAGTATAGTACAATATATTATATTTTAATATAAAGTAAAATAATATTTATATTATAATAATATACTAAATAATATACTAAACTAATTGAATAAGTTAATTTAGAAGTAATTAATAGATAAAATTATATTTTAATAAGGTGTCACATCATCAATTATCCCACATGAATTGTCAAATCAAATGCTAAAATTATCTCATTATCCCACTTTATCCCACTTTACCCCACTCAAAATATCCCAAAGGGGTAAAATTGTTCCATTGGAACATTTTTCCCCCTTGGCCAACATTTGTCCCAACCAATAATCCCCCCTAAGAGATTTGTATTTGAATGTCGGTTAATATTTTACATACCAATCTTATATTAAGCACATATTTCACATAGAGCAAATGCTAAGATAGTGGCTCTAATCTCAAGAAGCAATTTAGTAAATAAGTTCTGAAATGCACAAATTATTAATAAGGTTAATTGCCAATAGACCCCATACAATATCACCCAATTGCAAAAGAGACTCCCAATAGTTATATTTTTGCAAGTAGACCCCGTGAGTGAATAGTTGTTGGCTCTTAAAATAGTTAAAAATGTTTGAGGAGACAAGTAGACCCTCTATACTTCTATCGGCAAGAATATTCCTCGGTTGCTTTTTATTTTGAATTTTAAAAGAGTGGAAAAGGTTTAGTGAGAGGGCGTATTTGCATCTAGGATAATACTACGGAGAGTCTATTATTAAAACTACAAGGAGTCTATTCACAATTGGGTGATACTATATGGGGTCTATTTTCAATTAACCCTTTTTAATATGAGACTAAAACTTGCTATTCCCCAAATAAATCCTTGAAAATTTATAATATGCTAGCCAAGGAAACATAATTTGTCATAGACATAATACTTTAAATGATATATCACTCATTTTCTATCCTGGTCTTTTTATTATTTTTGTCTTTTCTATCATTCAAATCTTTTTTCAGACCTGTTATACTCTTTTGCCTCAATGCTATGTCATGAGAATCTGCATCTTCATCACATTCTATTTGTTTGAAAGCTTCTAATTTGTAGATTTTTTGAGCAATAATTCTTCCTTCAATTCTTTGCTCCTCACCTTTCTAGTTCATTTTTATCAAGAAAAGATATTCTTTATTACAACGGTTCAACATTTTTTGGCATAGGAGATAAATTCTCTTGTATTATATTTTTTATTGTTTAGTTATTTTTTATTTTAATTATTTTATCAAAATACTTTTTGTATAGAAGTAGTTTTGTCATAATACATTTCTTTCTTCATCAAATGAATCCACATGTTGTGCAGGTGTACAACCAATTAGAAATTAGGCTTCATTATAAAGAGTAGCGTATGCCTTGTTTGATATGATCATTTACTTCCAATCGCATAGGGTAAGTTGTTTGAAAAATTATCCATGTTATATTTTTTTTATGTTTTTTTACTAATATAACTTTCACACTTACTTGATTTACCATTACATACCTTCATTCTTGTATTTGTTACAACTAATTTTATTGTCTTCAATAGATACTTTCTCTTGGTATTTTTTACATGCAGCATAGCAAAGTGATACTGGATTGATTATTGTTTATATTCCGGCATTGAATGTGCAATAAATATATTATGAATGTTAATGAGATTATCATGATCATCGTAATAGGAGGTTATTAAATGTAGAAAGTAAGTTTCTAATTGAAATGGACAACATAAATGATAAAAACTAAAGTGGAAAATCTAATGCAGTAGCTCTCAGAGAATGAACTCAAACCAAGCACATAGAACCATCAATTTCTTTGTGATGTGAATTAGAAAGCAATATTTATGTGCTAAAGAATGTAGGCATTAATTTTGTTAACTGGTAGAAGTGAACATTTCAGCAAATAACCAAGTGTGAAGTTAAAGATGAATAATATAATAACTAAGTTTACCTTTTGTGATAACTAATGTGATAATACATGATAGATCCAACATCTTTGTGTTAGAAATTGAATTATTTAGAAGGATAGACTTTATTCATAGAGCTAAGGAATTTGGATAGAGATGCAATCCAGGGAGAAGTAAAATGACCACAAATATTCAATTCAATTAAATTAGTGTATTATAGGCATGTACTCGTGGACAAAGCATCTGAGATGTTCAAATAAATTAAAGTAAATAGATGCAAGCCAAATGCTAAAACTTACAGTGTGACGCCCCTGGGTTCACACAAGGCTGCAGTCCAAGGTGAAACCAAGAATGTCAAACCTGCTATGCACCACGCCGTGCAATAACATGTTTCACCATCACAATTAACATCTATCTAGTAGAGTCAACAACTGGTGTAGGTACAAAATAGGTAGAAGATAATACAAGGAATACTGATGAAATGATAATAGTCACATAAATATCTCATCATCTAACAATCCAGAAATACATAGTCAAGATCTGAGTAGATAAACTGAAATTCTCAACAAGTCTCAAATACAAATGTCTGACGATAAGGAGATAAGGCTCACAACCTTTACAACTTCTAGAATAATACCCTCAATTGTCTAACCTCACTACAGTGGAGCCCAAAGAAAAATAATACATAGCTAGAAAGTAAAGTTGAACACTAATGTGGTCCGCTATCAACCTGCGGCTCTCCGTGCTCCTGGCTCGTGACCTGAAAGGGGGGAGGGACAACGAGCGTCAAAGCGCTAGCGAGTAACATCACAACCAACCCCAAGGGAACAGGGCTCGTTGTATAAGAAAATATTGATAATATATAATAGATCTAAAATCATTGATCTTACTAAAGAGGGTTTTAGTATTTAGAAATTTACAACACGAGCATAGGTACGTCGAGCGAAATAATCCAAACAAGGAAACCCTCATGTATATACCTTGTATCTCAAATTGTAAATCTCTAAACACCAAACCCGAGGTTCTAGTACCAAAAATAATAATAAAAGAAATACAGCTAATCTCAGAGCAAAAATACAGTGCCATACCATAGCTAACATGAATATCATGTTATTACTTAAATGAATATCATATCGAGATTTACATAAGTGTTATGAAATAAACTCACATGAGTGACATGTCAGAAAACGATTAAGTGTCCAAAACATAAACTATATAAATTAAACGTCCAACTCATGGACTGCGTGAAGTAAACGTCCAACTCATGAACTGAATTTAATCGTTGACCAACGCATGGACCAGATGTGACCGTTGTCCAACGCATGGACCGGGTGTGACCGTTGTCCAACGCATGGACCGGGTGGTAATACATATCCAGCACGAGGATTAAAATAGCTATGCATGTCCAACACGAGGACTAAGAGGTAATACTTGTCCAACACAAGGACTGTGGATTGTTAGTCCAACACGAGGACTGTGAAAAGGTGAAAATATCGCTGAGGTACATAGTGAAATCTACCTATATCAATTCACAGTCAAATCAGTGAATATATCCATAATTGGTACCCTCAGGTCGTCGACCGAAATAACGTCGCGGTCGACCGAAGCCTCAAAACGAGCTCAGCGGTCGACCGCGTCGGTCGACCGCCGAGCGGACAGAAACCCAAATCTGGGTTTCTGTCAGCTCGAAACCTGAAACAAAAATTTTGACATTCTTTGATAATAAGAGTTTTAATGATTCAAAAATCATACTGAAGATAAACAACTAAACCCAAGCTTGAAATCTA